ATCAGTGTCTGTGTTCTAACCTCCTTTTCTTAAAAGGGCACCAGTCCTGTTGGATTAGGGTGCACCCAAAGGAACTGAACTTAATCACCTCTTTACAGACCCTGTCTCCAAATACGGTCACATTCCGAGGTAGGGTGGGCTAGGACTTCAACATAGGAATCTGGGGAGAACATAAGTCAGCCCCTAGCAAAGGGATCAGAGAAGACCTCTCTGAGGAAGGAAGGCATCAGAGCGGACCCCTGAATAACGGAACAAGTGGTGGCTGTAGGTGAGTCAGCTGTGGGAGGGTGCTCCCGGCAGGGGCACGGTGAGTACGTGGTCTCCAGACTGGAGTCTGAGGGTGGCCATGGTGGCCACAGCCCAGGGAGGGAGAGCAAGCATGCTCCCTGTGAAGGCAGAGCCAGCCTACGAGGAACTTGGAGGCGTGGTGAGGAGCAAATTTTCTTCCAGTTGTCATAGGAAGTCATAGAGTGTTTTGAGCACAGCAGGGACATAATCTAACATATATTTTTTAAGGGATAATTTTAAAATTTATGACAGATTTTCTGTAGATTCCCAAGAATTTGGCAGGCAAGGTCATATTGATCATGAAACCCAGAAAAATTTCTTAGAATAGTTAAGATGCTCTGTTGGTTTTCTAAGAATTCCTTCCCTTGAAGATTAAGAGATCAGCTAACAATTACTTGGAATACTGTAGTCCCGCTGAAGTTTCTCCCACTACATTCAGTGATGCTGGGTTTACGACAAGAGAAATACCTGTGTATATATTATTATGGAAGAACATCCTTTTCTTGAAGAATATTTTTGGTTAGAATGGTCTGGTATGTGGTAACTTATTTATAAGAAGTAGTGTTAAACTGACATCACTTTGGGACAACTTGGGGCAAACTCTGAGACATCTTTTCCACCTTTGACAAAGGCCATCTCTAGATTCACATGAAGTAATGAGAGGGTAAATGACAATTACTTTGGAAGTGTTGAGCAATTTGTTGCCAAAAGATAAAGGATCTCCGCAAAGCAGTTCATACACATTATACCTAGACCCTATTCAGAATTAACCAAAGACTTGGCATTCTTGGGTTGGGTGCAATAGCTCATCCCTGTAATCCGACCATTTCGGGAGGCCGAGGTAGGTGGATCACCTGAGGTCAGGAGTTCAAGACCAGCCTGACCAACATGGTGAAACCCCGTCTCTATCAAAAATACAAAAATTAGCTAGGCATACTTGTCCATGCCTGTAATCCCAGCTACTCCAGGGGCTGAGGCCTGAGAATTGCATCAACCCAGAAGGCAGAGGTTGCAGTGAGCTGAGATCATGCCACTGCACTACAGCCTGAGTGACAGAGACACTGTCACACACACACACAAAATAACCAAAGACTTGGCATTCTAAAGCCCCACATACAGGAAACCTGCATCACATGAACCATCAGTGTGCTTTTCGAAGTTGCTTAAAATGGTTGTGTCCATGTTTACAGGATACTCGTGTTGTATTCAGTTACAAGTACTGTACATAAAACATAGTCACTGAATAGATTGGTAGTCATTTTCATGGGAACTTGTAAATACATTCAGGTCATCAATTTCCTTGTGTATCTCCATTAAACTTTGTTACTGAGGGCTGCCTTCAAGATCTGCAAAAAATTTCATCATATAGAAGAGTCTAACAATATTAGACCCACAGACACAGGGAAATTTCAACTGTAATATCTTTACTAGAGTTAAGTCAAATTTTAGGTGAGATCAGTTACATTTCAGAAATAAAAATAGGTCACTTCCTTAGTCTTGCTTATTTTTTGAACACAGTATCTATTTTAATGAACGGGGAAATATAAATAGAAAAAAAATTTTAACTAGTATATGCCATAGAAATCATTTACAGATCATCAGAAACAAGTTAAATTTGAATATGAAAGCTTCCCTCGCCTCCACAGGAAAAGAAAATGGACTAACCCATTCTGGCCAAAAATTAGCCTTATTTATGTGTCAATACAGCCCTTAAAAAAACAGATAATCTAACCTGGATTTTGGATACCTGTACCTAAGACGTGTTTAGAACATTCCTCTAAAACACCTAAAGAAACGAAAAGCCCAGCCTTGTGTGGTGGCTCATGTCTGTAATTCTAGCACTGTGGGAGGCCGAGGCGGGAAGTCCACCTGAGGTCAGGGGTTCAAGACCAGTCTGGCCAAGGTGGTGAAACCCTGTCTCTACTGAAAATACAAAAATTTGCCTGGCATAGTGATGCGTGCCTGTAATCGCAGCTACTCGGGAGGCTGAGGCAGGAGAATGGCTTGAACCTGGGAAGCGAGATCATGCCATTGCACTCCAGCCTGCGCGAAAGAACAAAACTCTGTCTCAAGAAAGAAAGAAGCTAAAAGCCCTATATCCACAAGAAATTTTTGCAGTATCTCAGTGCTGAAGGAGAGAAGGCAGAGCATAACTCAGAAGGTCTCAGTCGGGTTTTTGTTATTTTGAGGCTATCTTTGGTGGCCGAATTAGAAGGATAGTGTGGTGCTAAAGTAACATTGCTGCATGTGCTTTAACAAGCAAAGTTGGAGATTACTGATGATAACACAGTCATCTGTGGGATGCGTTCCTGTGCATTCTAAAACATGAAGCCTCACTTTGAGTCTTACCATTAAGTCCTTGCCGTGAAGGGGTGGCAAGTGTTACTGAGTTGCTAGATTAGCAAGGTTCTACGGCATTTTCGCTTTAAGCCAGAGTGCTTTCACAGCTGAGCTGTAATGCTCTGAAAATGCCTACATAACAAGATCCAGACGTGGAGTTGAATCCCAAATGGTAAGCGGCCAATGGCATTTATACGCTATTACCTTGCCGAAGCCGTAAAAAGTCAGCACATCTGAAAAGACACTGTGCCTAAATCTGAAAGCAGAGAGGAAGCCAACACAGGAAATAGGTGGCTCTTTCAATCATAACATACCTCTACAGGGTGGGAAGGTAGTTCCGTTTTCTAGAGAATACCAGCGTGAACTCCAAACCCTTCTTCAGGAGGCAAGTAGAAAGAATGAGGCTAAATTATCCTATTGATGACTAAATGTTCCATTTAGCTCCCCAGAGTCCACGCCTGGAACAGAATTTCAAGGAATCACATTTAGCTTGCTGGCCAACCGGGACCTGCTGCAAACTTGAGTAAACACAAGGTTTCCTAATAACCTGCCTTTCTTAGAAATCTAAAGTACTAATAAGTTCAGGAAAACTTGAATTTCTCAGAGAGGCAGGAAAAGGGATCAAGTTGCAGAACAATACAGCTAGAAAGAAAAACCAAGTGCACCTGAGGGCAGATGTTAAAGGAGTTGGAGAAATCACATTTGAGAAAGGTATGTTTCAGTGGCCAGTTTGGTCTCTGTCTTGCAAAGGTACTTGGTCCCATAATTCGTTTGACTCTTGCATAAACCCTATTTGCCTGATTTGGTTCAAAGTTGTCTGTGACTTTTGTTTCCCATGTGATTGATGAATTTGACAAGTTTGCCTCTGGCCCTGTGCTGAGCACTATGAAGGGACAAAGAATTATAAGATCTGGTTTGGGGCTTGAGGGGTGGAGAATGGGGGTTTGAAGAGAATATGCACAGCAGGAGCAAAGGTAGCAGTGTGCTGGTGGGTTTAGAGAAAGGTTTTTGTTTTTGTTTTTTTTGAGACAGAGTCTTGCTCTGTCACCCAGACTGGAGTGCCATGGTGCGATCTCCATCTTGGCTCACTGCAACCTCAGCCTCCCGGGTTCAAGCGATTCTCCTACCTCAGTCTCCAAAGTAGCTGGGATTACAGGTGCCCGCCACCACTCTCAGTCAATTTTTGTATTTTTAATAGAGATGGGGTTTTACCATGTTGGCCAGGCTGGTCTCGAATTCCTGACCCCAACTGATCCACCTGCCTCCGTCTCCCAAAGTGCTGGGATTATAGGCGTGAACCACCGAGCCCAGTCTAGAGAAAGATTTTAATAAACTTAGAGTTTAGTGATCTTTGTGGCCTGGGACAGAAGTCATTTCCTCCTTTGGTTACTCAGAGTAACCTATCAGGGGGTTTTGGGGCAGGGCCAGTGGTGCAGAAGCATTCTGGAGCTACAGATATCAAGAACGTAGGATCTAGAAAGATGAATGAAATCTATTCCCGACTACCTTGGCAGCATCCAAAGTCACAGAGGGGAAGATACTATTGTGCTAGGAGGATGAGTGATGACTTTAGTTTGTAACCCACATAAATAAAAATAAGTTTCTGACTAGGTGTCTATCATCACATCACCTGAGAATGACTGGATAGATTTTCACTGTGTTGGAGGGAACATCTGAACTTTAAAAACGGGCTTAAAATATGGGTGATGGCAGGATGACTACCAATGAAGAAATGTGCCATATGCATTATCACAGGTCAGGTTCTCACAGAAACAGTCTCAGAGATGGGGATTAGTATGCCAGGGTTTATAAAGGAAGTGGTTTAGGGGAAATGAGTCGGGGGATGAGGAACAGGCAGGATGGGGAATGGGAAAGAGTCCAGTAAGAGAGCCACTTCAGGACGAGTCCCAGCCTCAGCACAACCCCACAAAAAGCAGTGCAGTGTAAGTGACACTTCTGATTGCATCCTAACCCCAGGCACTCCAGACCTGAGCTTTCATATTCTGCACCAGTCAGCCATTGACCAATGGCCCCTCAGGGAGGACCCAGATTTCCAGGTACATCTGTCTCCAGTCTTCAGAAGACAGTCACTGGAAGCAGGCATAGAAGCGAAGGAAATGGGCCGGGCTTGGTGGCTCATGCTTGTAATCCTAGCACTTTGGGAAGCTGAGGCCTGTGGACCACCTGAGGTCAGGAGTTTGAGGCCAGCCTTGGCAACATGGAGAAAACCCATCTCTACTAAAAATACAAAAATTAGCTGGGCATGGTGGTGCACGCCTGTAATCTCAGCTACTCAGGAGGCTGAGGCAGGAGAATTGCTTGAACCTGAAAGGTGGAGGTTACAGTGAGCGGAAATCGCCCCAGTACACTCCAGCCTGGGAGACAGCAAGACTCTGTCTCAAAAAAAAAAAAAAGAGAGAGAGAAGCCAAGGGAAGGACACTCAGAAATGGACAAAGGATTTTGAAGGGAAGGCACTGAGCCCCTCAGTACAGTGTTCCCCATCCATATTAAGACCTGTGGGCAGAACAAGGAATAGATGTTTCAGATATGGGTCCAAAATCAAAGAACATGCCCTTCAACTTGCAGGTGCTGGTTTCCAGTTGAGCTGCTACTCACATGGGCAACTCTAGCCAGCTGTTAGCAGCAGAGATTTGTGTACTTGGTAATGTTTTTAAAAAACAGCTGGGGATCGTCCTGGGCGATGCTGGAGGCCAGCTTCTGTGCAATCGCATGGGCCTGCTGGGCTTGTCCGATTCTTCCTCCTGTCCCTGGAGGAGCAAACAAGCCTCTTTTGTATTCAACCTGTGTCTTCCTGAACACTGTTTCTCTCTGACGGGTGATTGGAGAGACTGAGACAGTTCTAATCAAGAAGACTACGTAATCAGCCGGGTGTGGTGGCTCAAGCATGTAATCCCAGCACTTTGGAAGGCCAAGGCAGATGGATCACGAGGTCAGGAGATCGAGACCATCCTGGCTAACATAGTGAAAACCTGTCCCCACTAAAAATACAAAAAATTAGCTGGGCATGATGGTGCGTGCCTTAATCCCAGCTATTCAGGAGGCTGAGGCAGGAGAATCAGTTGAACCCGGGAGACAGAGGTTGCAGTGAGCCAAGATTACGCCACTGTCCTCCAGCCAGGATGACCGAGTAAGACTCCATCTCAAAAAAAAAAGAAGACGACTACATAATCAAGGCCTAAATTCTGTGCTACAAATCCTATAAGAGCGTCATGAAAATGGAGTTTACTTAGGGCTGGAGGAGCCGCAGAAGGCTTTTTGGGAGAGATGGGACTTCATTTTGGCCTTGAAAAGCAGTAGAGCTTAGTAGGTAGAAAAGAGTAGATAGAAAAGAGTACCAGCCGGGCAGGGTCTATTGAGCAAAAGGCACAGAGGTGAGACCTGACATGCACTCTTACAGCACAAAATGAAGACTGTCTTAGCTGAAGGGAAGAATCCCAGCCCAGAATACTGATGGTCGGTCACCTTAGGTCTGAAAATTGGGTCATGGTCTTAAGCCATCATCCCCTCTGCTGCTTGGTTCAGCTTCTTTCTGATTCTCTGCCCAATTCCCTACTCAGACTGGCTTTCCATCAAGCTGTGTTGGGCTCCAGACCATCCTCCTAATTAATACATGCCAGGTCCCATGAGTTGACAAGCTTTCAATACAAAGAAATAAATGATATAGGCCAGGACAGAAAGCAGAACAAAATAAAGATAGCAGGGGGTGTTTGGAGTGAACAACATCATGGAACGGGCCAATTTAAGAGACTTTTTGGAAAAGCAGAAACCTGATGTGTTAATTAGGAGTCTATTTCCATAATAAGTCTGCTCAGAGGAAGGTAATAGAAGAAACAAAAGGGGCAGTGGTGGGGTCTGTTCAGGCAGAATGGAAGTTGCAGCTTAAGGAGAGGGGAGAGGGCTTATTATTGTCTGTTGTCTTATGTATCTCTGCGGTCTGCTGGCTCCATAAGACAGGGGGCTGCCCCTTCTGTGTTTTGTAAGGCACCATGAATAAAGAGCTTCGGATATAAATAACACTGTGGTTTCTGGCCCCAGGACCTGATTCAACAGGAAGTACTGCAGCCTTACCAGCTCCAGCTGGTGGTAGATTTTGACTTTTCAGGGCATATTCTATTCAGAGGAACTGTCTGCTGCTGAGATGAGCCAATATAGTGGTTCAAAACAAGAGGAAGTGCGGCAAGGAAGTGAGGTGCCAGCGCGCCCACAGTGAAGGAAGGGCACTTGTGGAGCCAAGAGCCTTCATCTGGCTTCATGCAGCTAGGCTTGGGGGATTCGAGCATGGGCACTGGAATCAGGTAGACGTGGGTTCTAACCCCAGCTCTGCCGCCTGCCGGCTCTGTGGTTAGGCCTTCCAACTGGTAATGCTGAGCTGAGAAAAGACAGTCTATCTTCTCCACTACTGCCAGATTGATTTTCCAAAAGCACAGCTTGGAGCATCTCTTCCTGCTGTTTGGAGATGGCAATGGTTCCCAACTGCCTAGCGGCAGCCCGCCCACCATGAGGTTGGCCAAGCTCTGCACTGCACTTCAGGGATGTTGACTGAGCCGGTTCACCCTCCTAAACCTTGCTTTCTTCTTCATGAAGCAAGGATGATGCTTGTTGTTGGGCCACTGTGAAAGTTAAAGGAGATAATTCATGTAAAGCGCAGGGCACATCATAAGAATTTTCACCAGCTGGGCGCGGTGGCTCACACCTATAATCCCAGCACTTTGGGAGGCTGAGGCGGGTGGATCACGAGGTCAAGAGATCGAGACCATACTGGTCAACATGGTGAAACCCCGTCTCTACTAAAAATTCGAAAAAATTAGCTGGGTGTGGTGGCGCACGCCTGTAGTCCCAGCTACTTGGGAGGCCGAGGCAGGAGAATTGCTTGAACCCAGGAGGCGGAGGTTGAGGTGAGCCGAGATCGCACCATTGCACTCCAGCCTGGGTAACAAGAGCGAAACTCCGTCTCAAAAAAAAAAAAAAAAGAAAAAAAAAAATTTTCACCATTGGTTAAGAAACTGTTTGAGTGCAAAGCCCTGTTCTTCTTTCACTAGATGTAACCTTGGGCACATTTCTTAATTTCCCCATTGTATTAGTCCATTCTCACGGTAAATACTACCCCAGACTGGGTAATTTATAAAGGAAAGAGGCTTAATTGACTCAAGTTCAGTGTGGCTAGAGAGGCCTCAGGAAACTCACAATCATGGCAGAAGGGAAGCAAACAGGCCAGGAAGGAGAATGAAAGCCAAGCAAAAGCGTTTCCCTTTCCAAACCATCAGATCTCATGAGACTTATTCTCTATCACAAGAACAGTTGGGGGGAACCACCCCCATGATTCAGTTATCTCCCACCGGGTCCCTCCCACAACCCATGGGAATTATGGGAGCTATAATTCAAGATGAGATTTAGGTGGAGACTCAGGCAAACCATATCATAACCCATCCTCAAATGCTCACCTGTAAAACAAGGTTGTTGAGAGGATTTGATGAACTGATGTTTCTAAAGCATCCTGACCAGTACTCAGTGCTTAATAATTTTAGTTTTATGACATCATCATCATCATCCTCATCCTCATCATCACTGTTTCCACCATCATCATGATCATTTAGATCTGGGAGAAAAAAAGAAATAAATTGGGAATATACTTGTTGAGATGAGTCCCTGAAGTTGCTCTGGGGGTCTAGGAATGGAGAAAAGGACTGGACACCCTCCATACTTCTGGCAGGGCCTGGGGTGGTTGGGACCAGTTGGCTGCTGGGTGCTCCTGTCGATCTAGCTGTTTTCTCCTGGCTTCTGGATCTAATGCTGAGCATTAGACAACCAATGACTCAATTCCAAAAAGTACAAAAAGTAAGATATCTGTTCAGCCCAGGCCAACTGGAAGGTGGGGATCAAGCTTCCTGAATGAGCCTATGGTGATCATGGTGGTTAGACCGAGGACACACGCTCCCTTTTTCTGCTGTCATGAGAGTCCCTCAGGGAAAGCTTGTGGTGAATGCAACTCTGTCTCCTGTTTTTCTATCTGAAGGTAATGACCCTTCACCCATTTTGTGCAATGTTGGCAAGGCTGTCAACAGTGTGACCCCACACTATTGCTGGGATAACACAATCCAAGCAAAGTGAATCAAAATCATTATACTGAGTTTGCATGAGACCTGGAAGTAGTGGTGGGGGTGGAGGGAAGTGTCCTTTCCTTTGTCCTAGGATGTAGAGATCTAAAGAACATAGGAGTCTGAAGATGCCAGATGGGAGTCCTTGCAGCTGTGTTGGAGAGATTCTACTTGAGAGTGAAGTCAATCCTAGTCAAAAGATAGAGCCCTCCTGTCATTGTTTGAGCCACTTGATATAGCTATGCCCGAAGGTGGTTGTCCCCCAGACTTCCCAGGTACATGAGCCAATTAACTCCTTAAAGCTGATTGATTTGGATTTTTGTCACTTGTACTAACGAGTATAGTCCCTTTATTTGCAACTGTGAGAAATTTGCTCCATATACATTAAACTCATTTGTGTTAGGAATAATTAGATTTTTTTAATTTGTGGGGGCTACCTAGGAGTGCAGAATAGAAAACTGAGATGCAACAGAAGGCAGAGAAGAAGCAGATGCTTTGCACTGAAGGCTTGGAAAAGATCAAGGAAGCTGAGAGCTGGTAGCCAAGGGCCAGAGAACAGCCAGCTGTGTTGATGGAAGGGAAGAAACAGGGTCCCCTATGGGAGGAGCAGACAGCACAAGCAATGACATTAGGCTATGATACTTATTAATAAGGACCTATATAACCTTCTATGTGGTGGCACAAATTTGTCAAATCACTGCTCAGCTATATTAATCCAATTAGATAAAAATTGCTCAAAGCATCTTGATCAAAAAGGCAATGTCAACTTGGAGTCATACAGCCCTGGGCTTAGGACCAGCTTTGACATAGTCTAGTTGATTGACATTAAGAGAATGATTTGACATCTCTGAGCCTCAGTTTCCATTTCTGCACCATAGGAATAATAATGCCTTCTTCACATAATAGGTGATGATGGTACTGTTTTATTCAAGCTATCCCTCACCTCTGGGATCACAGTAGAAAAATGAGAAGCAAGACAACCAACACCTGCATTCCAGAAAGTACAAAACACATGCAATATGTGCAGGAAGAATCAGACACAGAAGAAAAAACTGGGCCAGGCACGGGGGCTCACACCTGTAATCCCAGCACTTTGGGAAGCCGAGGTGGGTGGATCACTTGAGTCCAGGAGTTCAAGACCAGCCTGGGCAACATAGGGAGACCCCATCTCTACCAAAAAATTCAAAAAATTAGCTGGGCATGGTGGTGCATGCCAGTAGTCCCAGCTTCTATGGTTGCTGAGGCATGAGGATTGCTTGAGCCTGGGAGGTGGAGGCTGCAGTGAGCTGTTATTGGACCACTGCATGCCAATCTGGGTGACAGAGCAAGACACTGTCCCCTCCCTTCAAAAAAGAAGAAAAAATGTTTTAGCATGTGTGTTATCTACGACTGACAAGCACATTACTGAAACTGTTGGGAAGGCAAATCCTGAAAACTGTTCAGATAGTAAAAGTTGGGAAATGGAAAAATATGCAGTTCTATGTATTACTAATTTTCAATCTATAAATATTGTTAGTATTATTTTTATTTAGTTTGCTATCTTTGTGCTTTTATTTTAGTAAAAAATGTCTTTATGAGTTCTTTTTTTCATAGGCATTATTGTTTTTTATCTTCTATTAGCTGCTTCAGGGCTCTAGCTAGCAAGTTTTTTGTTGCTGTTGTTGTTTTGAGACAGAGTCATGCTTTGTTGCCCAGGCTGGAGTGCAGTGGTGTGTGATCTTGGCTCACTGCAACCTCCACCTCCCGGGTTCAAATGATCCTCATGCCTCAGTCTCCTGAGTAGCTAGGATTACAGGCGTGTGCCACCATGCCTGCCTACTTTTTTTTTTTTTTTGTAGGGATAGGGTTTCACCATTTTGGCCAGGCTAGTCTTGAACTCCTGGCCTCAAGTGATCTGCCTGCCTTGGCCTCCCAAAGTGCTGGGATTACAGGCATGAGCCACTGCACCCACCCTCTAGCTGGCAAGTTTGACACAGAGTTGAGGATGGTGGTCCCCTCATTTCCTTCTCAGAACAAACAGCAGGTCTGGTGGGGGCTATGAAGAAGCCACACAGTTTTGGTGACGAGAATGCCAAGGAAACAGGGTTCTTGAGGTTGGCACTAACAGCGGTAGTTAAGTCTTCTGCATTAGCCAGGGTTTTCCAGAGAGACAGAACCAACGAGATGTGTACAGGCCAGGCATGGTAGCTTGCACCTGTAATCCCAGCACTTTATGAGGCTGAGACAGGCAAGAGAATCATTTGAGCCCTGGAGTTCAAGATCATCAAGGGCAAATAGCAAGACTCCATCTCTATTTTTATTTTTTTATTGTTTTTTAATCTTATTTATTTTTTTGTTTGTAGAAAGTGATTTATTTAGAGGGAGAAAAAGGAGAAGGAAAGAGAAACAGCTAACTCTCACACTAAATGAGAGAATCCAGAAAGATGGAAACTAGGAGAGGAAAGCAGCTTCCACACTGAGTGGAAGGGAATAGACAGAGATGGAGTTTAGGAGGGGAAGACAGGCTTCCACGAAGGAAGTGTTCGCGGAAGGGGGACTCCAGGATAGAGGGAAAATCCAGGATAGAGAAAAACAGCTTCCATGAGTACAAGAGTGTTCGTGGAAGGGGATCCAAACATGGGGTCCCCCCATCTCTATTTAAAAAAATTGTGTATAGATGTGAGAAAGATTGATCGATTTTAAGGAATTAGTCCTTAAAATGACTACAGAGGCTGGCCAGTCCAAACTCTGTAGAATAGGCCAGCAAGGTTGGAGACCCAGGAAGGTACTGCAGTTAAGAGTCCAAAAGCCAAGTCTACTGGCTGAATTCCCTCTTCCTCCAGAGAGGTCAGTGTTTTTTTCTATTAAGGCCTTCAACTGACAGGATGAGGCCCATTCACATTATGGAAGGTCATCTGCTTTACTCAAAGTCTATTGATTTCAATGTTAATCTGGTCTCAATTTTTTTTTTTGAGACAAGTTTGGCTCTATTGACCAGGCTAGAGTACAGTGGCACAATCTCGGCTCACTGCAACCTCCATCTTCTGGGCTTAAGCCATTCCCCCACCTCAGCCTCCCAAGTAGCTGGGACTATAGGCACATACCACCATGCCTGGCTAATTTTTTTTTTTTTTTTTTAAGACAGAATGGTTCACCATGTTGCCCAGGCTAGTCTTGAACTCGTGAGCACAAACAATCCACCTGCCTTAGCCTCCCAAAATGCTAGAATACAGGTGTGATCTACCACACCCCATGATTTCAAGGTTAATCTTATCTTTTAAAAAATCTTCACAAACATCTAGAGTCGTTTGACCAAATATCTGAGTACCATGACGTAGCCATGTTGACACCTAAAATCAACAAACATATCTCCTCAAATAGTTTTTGGACCATTGACTGCCAGATGAGGCCCTGAGAGGGTCATGAGCAGAGCTGCTGCTGAGTGTCTGTGAGACATCACTAGCAAACCCCAAACCTTTACATCCCTGCAACCTGAGACTCCCTAAAATAACCAGGGTGGGGATTTGCAAGAGTGTTGAAATTCCAAGACAGCAGCTAGGAACTCCGGTCACAGAGAGTTATGTCTTTATATTAAAACGATCTCATTTGTACTCACAAACTGGTGAGTCCTGGGACATTTTGGGTAAAGTTTCTTGTTAACTAGGCAGCATTCTGAAGATGTGCCTACCTGTCTTTATTACCCAGTGACTGGCATAATGCCTGGGATGGGATACAGGTAGTTAGTCATAGTTTTATGAATAAGTCTTAACAAATGTTGTCCACCGGGTAGTGGTATAGATATGTGGTGTGTTCATTAGAGGTTGAAATGGAAATGGACACTATGATTTATGTTCATTAATTGATTCATACACAAGACCTTGACAGCAGCTACCTGCATTTACTAGAAGAAGCTCCACTTGGGAAATGCAATTCTTAGGGTTTGGTTTCAGCTCTACGTCTGTCCATGGGGCCTTGGGAGAGCCTGCTACCTTCTCTAGGGTTCTCTTTCATGGTCTATAAAATAAGGAGGTTTATCTGTGAGGGTTCTTCCAGCTCTCACATCTACAGTTCAGTAAGATCATCCAGATAGTGGCCAAACCCCAGGATGTGATGTGTGAAAGTTATAAAGGGATATTCAGGGAAAGGTGCCAACTGACTCCAGTCCCGCCTTCTCTACTTGACTCAGAGTAATTGCCTCTTGGAAAGACCAGACCAGGTGAATAATCCTCTGCTGTCTTGGGTGTTGTGGTCTGAATGTGTCCTCCCAAACTCATATGTTGAAATCTAATCAATAACATGATGGCATTAGAAGGATGGGCTGTTGGGGGAGGTTAGATCATGAGGACAGAGTACTCATGAATGGGATGAGTGCCCTTATTGAAGAGGCCCCAGGGAGCTGCCCTGCCCCTTCCACCGCATGAGGCCGCAGCAAGAGAAGCCATCTATGAAGTTGAGAATGAGCTTTCACCAGGTGTCAAATCTGCTGGTGCCTTGATCTTGGACTTCCAGCCTCTAGAACTGTGAGAAATAAGTTTTTCTTGCTTAAAAGCCACGCAGTTTGTGGTATTTTGTTATAGCAGCCTAAATAGACTAAGATACTAGAATTTCATTATCTTTTTTTTTTCTTTAAAGAGTTAGGGTCTCATTCTGTTGCCCAGGCTGGAGTGCAATGGTACAACTATAGCTCA